TGTACAAATCTTCGATAGCACAGTGTCCGCCAAATGGCAATGACCAAGCTGCATGCGTATGTGTGTAGACAAGTGTGTTATCTATTGTCGCTTAATGTAGCAGACAGCCGGCTGGTAAGCATATTGGGCGTGCATATGCACTGCATCCAGTGGATATTTTCTTCATTCTTGTCTAACCACAGCCCAAAAGGGGGGCTTACAAATGTTTTTTTTTTATTTTATATTTCAATAATTTGCATTGTCAAAAAGTGAAGAAAACATATGTATTTCACTTCCTTCTTGATGCGTCTGTCCCAAGCCAGCAGTCAACTTCCGCTTGCCGCGTACCCTGCACACACAAATTAACCATGGCTGCAGCATTTAGATAACCAAACACTCGTATTTCCTGGCAGTGTTTTCCAATTGGATTTTGCTTCTCTACAACCACTTCAGCGGCCATTTAATGGCTTTTGGTACGCGCAATACCACTATTTATTTCCTATTTATTTAAACAAAAGCTTTTCCTTTTGCAATTGGGGACTTCCACAATATATATTAAACATACTAGAATTTTCAAACCCTAAGTTCTTCTTTCTCCAACTTCTTCTGCTTTGTTATACAATTTCGGTTTGCCTTTGTGAAGTTTTCGCCAGCAAATTGCACCACTCAATAATTCCTGTTTTTCGCGGTCGAATTTTCTTTTTTTTAGGTATGCTTCAAAGTTATTGCTCTCCTCGCACAATATATTAAACACTTTCGAGTATAAAATACAAGATTTTGCACAAACTTCTGAAATAAATGCGATTTGGATTCGCGAAATTTTCTCTGCTTCTGCTTAGTAATTTGCAATTAATTAAAAAAGCATCGAACAATGTAGATAGAGAGACAGACATGCAAAGAACTCAAAGCAAAGACAAAAACTGCGAATGGTCAGGGTTGCAAAAGAGAGCAACTTGTTGGGAGTGTTTTGCAAATACATATGGATATATTCTTCCGTATATTTTGTGCATACAGCGGTACTATTTATTTAATATTTGCTTGCCAATTAAAAACGAAGCCGTGAACAATTGCAACGAAAACAAATTCTTATTAAACTTTCGCATGTGTCAGCATCCGGAAAAATTTCCAATTAGTCCAAGTCGAAGCTACTCTACGTGAAACGATAACAACGCAACACGCAAGGCGGCGCCTCTGCCGGCAGCGCTAGCTATGATAAGAAAAAAGCGAATGGCCATACAAAACAACGAAGCCGAAAAAGTGCGAATGAGTAGCGGATAGCGAATGTTAGAGAAAATAGCAACAACAAA